CGATCGAGAGTGGTTATGTTTCTTCTCTGCGGGTAAACTACCTTCGTAGTAGTCTTACTTTGCTACTACTACTACTACTACTACTACTACTACTACTACTACTATCTCTCCTCACTATGGCTATTGCAACTAGGTAGTACCTAGTGAGAAGTGAAGACTGCCACTATCATGTTAGAATTGGAGATATGGACTCAGGTGGATGAGCAGATCGGCAAGAGCATTGAGAGACAGTTTCCTTCCTGTCGAACGAACCGCTGGGATTGCTTCGGCTCAGTAAGCTCAAAGCTACCTACCCAACCCTCTCACAACGCACGCATATCCTGCGTGGGCCGTTGTCTCATCGCCATCTCCCAAGAGGAGCTTTACCCCTGAGATACTGCATTATGCGTGCTGGCTACTAATGGGCAAAGTGGGCTGAGCCATCATAAACTCGCCAATAAAGCTTTTCCGATGATCTGGCACATGGTCAAGTGAGGTTTAGCTACAGCACATCCCTAGAGGGCGAGGAAAGGCCTTCAACACTCCGCCACACTATAGAATCAAGAACCCAGACAACCAGGAGGCGAAGCTTGCTGCCCCTCCCCGTCTTCCTCCTTCTGGACTGCTGTTGACCCTGATCTTCCCTTCCCGTGCGCCATCGGCTGCCTGCAGGAAGGAATTCTTTATCTCACTTGTCACTGCCTTGTGCGTCGCACAGATCCCGGGTCAACACGAGCTGCCTAGGATCAGCCACTGAGCAACGGTGATTCTTGGCTTTGTACTGTACTTCTGTACTTTCCTCCCTGCCAGCTTCCCATGGACTGATCCTGGACCCTAGCAACCCCCGGCTGCAGCATGCAGCATGCAGCCTGCAATGACATTTTGATCCAGGGTGTGTGTGTGTGCGCCTGTGTACAAGGATGAAAGGGACATCACGTCACTGTCCTTTGGTCTGATCACATCTTGATCTAATTGTGATTGGGGTTAGCAGAGCGAACAAGACATTCTAGCTCCATTGCATGCCATCAGTGGCTGGAATGCGCTTCTCGGTTCACTACCCTTGTCCCTCCTTTGCCTGTCTCATATCTCCATACTCAGAGTCGACCAGAACGATCATCCAATGGTGCCCTGGTTTGGCGACATCATCGTCAAGACCCCGCCATGTATAGGCCAGCTTACTGGTGGACTACCTAGTGCGAATCACATTTTCCACTGACTGGTCCAAGGTCTCTGTATGGCGCCAATATGTCTCAGTTCCGAGAGGACTATCGGACAAAGACCGTCCAAGACTAGCTGCTCTGAACTCTGAGTTGAGACACCCCTACCTACCCTGCAGGTCTATCTCAGGGGGACTGGAGAATTGGGCTGAGACTCCTAGGCTTTGGGGTCTCTAAGGGGACGGAGAGATGAGAGAAAGAGGCAATATGGCGAGGCGTCCTTCGCATAAGGAGTATCTCCAGGGGATCCGACCGAGGCAATAGAGCTTCTTGTGTGCGGCATGGTCTCATAGTCGGCGACTACCAGTGCTTTAGTCGGCGACTGATTATCTCCAGCCACTGCCCACAGGCGACTGCTAGTCCACACAGAGCGGAGTGTTCATCTCATTGGTGCGAATGGCAGCGCACAACCAAAGCGATGTCACAGATGGAGGATTAGAGCCATGTTCGAGTGTAACTAAGCCTACAAGATGATGCTTCAGCAGGTGTATGCTTGCGAAAAGAGTATAAAACAGCACCAACGTACTTCAATCTCACAGTGGTTTCTAATCACCCAAGCCTTATATCAAAGCCTTGATCTGTTACTGCGTACACATCCAGGCCGTCACAATCAATTACGTCGCCAGAACAGGCCATGTTCCCGATCAGGTGGAATAAACGAGAGCGCAACAATTTGCATAACTATACCTTCAGGTATCTACCATCGAGCCCCAACCCAAGCCCGTGAGGTATATAGCAGCCTCTTCGTGACACAAAACGAAGCAAAGCCGCCAAGAGAACCCAACCCGACGATATTCCCAGTTTGTAGCATAAGGTACAGAGCAGTCGAACCAAGTCCAACTTAACTAACGTTAGTGCCCTTTAGTCATAGTATCTCAGGTTGACTAACTATAACCTACACGAACTATACGACAAGTCAAACGCTCGCCAAGTCCACCAGTCAACTACTCACCCTTGAACCGGCTTACATAGTACAGTAGGTACTTACTAACCAAACCATCAAATCAAATCACACATTACACGCCGAAAATAAAAACACCCTATACCTATACCTATAGCTAACAAGTTATTCAACAACCTAACCAAATAAAAGCTAAGAAAGAAGTCAACAACCAAGACCAAAAAACGGTGCCTACAAGCACAGAGTAAATTATAGACTAAGAGCGAAGGAAAAAGAAAAAAAGTTATATATAGTATCATATATGGGTCCCCCCTCCCCTCCGAGGTCCCCTCCGTCCCCATCCTTTTTTTTTTCTTTTCCGATATCAATTCGCTACCGGCCAAACCGTTTCCCCGCCACCCACACAATACGAGCTGCTGCCCCCCTCCCCCCTCCCCCTTCCCCCAATTTTTTTCCCGAGCCTAGGAGCTTGGGGGAAGGACAGGCACCAAAGGGTTTGGAAGGTGAAGTGTGTGCTTGGGTGCTTGTGTGCTTGGGTATTTATCCTGTTTGGGGAAATTGTGGGTGTGTGGTAGGTGTTGATGCTCTCGTTTACCCCGTATACATTACCAAGATTTTGCGGTGGTGGGTTGTGGGCACTTACTCTGAGATTATTGTTGAAATTGAGGGGAGTGGATTCGTGACTTAGTATGAGTAGTATGGTACAGTAGGTACGGAGTAGGTAAACTACTGTTGGGAGAGGGCGCCGTGCCTGCCTGCCTGCCTGCCTGCCGGTGGACTTGCGCGCGGGCCGTGGAGGACCTACCGGTAAATTAAGCGACGAGACTAAATTCACCCAAGCTTGTTTCTTGCACGTTGGGGCCTTATTCTCTACCTTGAGAGTAGGAAAAGGACAAGGGATGATGTTTGGGATAGCTGATTCTACTGAGATAAGTTGTGAAGTGGGATGTGTGTATGAAGACACATGACATATACTATAGTCGGTCAGCTGATCTGTCACGTTATTCCTGCCATCCTACATCCTACATCGATACATCCAATGATGTCTCACTTGCAGCCCTCTACACACAAATGAAGCCCTGAACCCTGAAACAAACATCCTGTCATGCTGGGTTCATCATTATTTGCAACTGGTTTTGGCTAAATGACATGGGGGTTAGGTAGGCATTAACAAAAGTAACGTGCGCCGACAGTGCAACAAAGGGGGGGAAAAGGGAACCACCACCACCACCACCCCCTAGCTAATCAACAACCATCCTATCATCCAAATGGAAAACTCCCCCTCCAAGTTCCTCTCGACGTCACGCTGTGCTGGCCAAAGCGTATCCTGCGTCCGGGCCGATTGTCCATAACCAACCAAGCTGGAGCCCAATGCAGGTCCTTTGCACTGGCCGGAATTGCCAGAAACATGGCCAGTCAGCGTCGCACTTGGGCCGTTTCCTCTGAGATCGACATCCTGTTGGCTGCGTGGACTAAACTGGAGAAAGACTGGGATATTTTTTTACGGGTCTTGACCAGAAATGGGATCGCTGATAACACACCACACGCCAGTCCAGCATAGCGTCACCGGTTTTGGTAGCATGTCTCACTCAACTTGCCACGGGGCTGCAAGCTGGTGGGACTGAGGCAGAGACTTTTTCATTTCGATGCTATCTATCCGAAGATTCTTGTTCGAAGGCAGGATCCTGCAATCAAGGAAAATCAACCTCGCGGGAGGGCTGGCTGCTAGTCAAAAGATAGTGGCGCTCTGCTCGACGGACCGGTTGTTATAGCAGAGAGGAAACAATCTGCCCCAGAATCGATACGCTCCCCGATTCACCTCCTTCACGGAGACCAACCATCGAGCGAAGCTGTTCTCAGTTCGGCTGGGATTGGTGCTCCGTAAATGAGTGACCTAAACTCCCATGTTAGAGGGGGGTGTGGCAATGGGCCAGTGGGGAGACAGCAGCTCACCCCCGCATGGGTTAGACTTACTTCATGGTATCTCTGTAGAGCATCCCAGTACCGCATCGGCAGCCCAAACCTCTTCGTAACCGTCTCCTTCTTGATCCTCACTAAGGCCTTCAAGTACAATGTGGAGAGGGTTTCACGGGGCAGGTAGATGTGGTCGCCAACGGCAACCCTGCCGGGAAACTTCCAGCCGTGGCGCTCATATATAACCTCGATGAGTCGCGTCAATGTGTCTGCCTGCCATGTCGCCAAGAGCTCGCGGTTGAATGCTTTCACGTGCAGTTCCAGGTTCATCAGATCGCGTCGGAGTCGATGGGTGTTCGTTCGTAGCTTGCAGATCTTATGAATCAGCATCTCATTGGTCGTTTCCAGGGTGCGGAGAGTTGAAGAGTATCTCTGAAGGTAGAAAGAACGGTCAGTTTTATGTTTTATCTGAGGTTTTATCCATATCTCGAGTGCAACTGAGCTGACGAACCCTCAGTGACACGTTGGCGGTATTGCTGTCAGGTTGAGTTAAGTCTGGTGACTGGAGGTGAGACCGGTAGAAGGACATGCCAGGCCCGTATCGCAGGACAAGCTCGGCGTTCATTGTGACACTTCAGTCACAGAATGTTGGAAGAGCTAGAGACTAGAGGATCAACGAGTGGCCTTTTGGTATGAAAGATAAAGCCGTGGTGCTAACTAAGTAACGATGGCACTGTATGTACAGCTGTTGTGAAGGACCAGGTGCTGGTAAACACTCTGTCGACTGTTGACTGCGCAACGGCGCAGCAACAGCGTGTCAACACAGGGAAAGGGCGACCTGCCTGTTTGCCAGAATTTACTGCGTGGCCCTGGAAGAAGTGACCCAAGAGACGCGCGCACAGTCAACCGTTGCTACATAACTACCTCTGTGAGCTGTGTTCCTTGCGACCTAGAGTATATCACTGATAATTGGCGCTCAGCGTAACAGCTCATAGTTTGCTTCCCGACGCCTTGCCGAATTCGAAGACCAGCTTGCCGAATTGTTTGCCCTCCTTCATGTCCTGGAAAAGATCATCCAGTGCTGGAATATCGCCCAAGTCGCTTTGAACTACTCGCGAGACAACAGGATGGATCTTTTGGCTCCTCACAAACTCGACCATCTCTCTAAACTCTTTGCGCGAGCCCATCGTAGACCCACGCACCTCAATATTCTTTAGCACCGCTTGCATCAAGAAAGGCATTTTGGGCGCGACCGTCATTCCATAGACCGAGAGGATGCCGCCAGCCTGCATCAATCAGTATTCTCTTCGAGCAGACAGCAACGGGGCGCAGCCCACCTTGAGTAGCTTGACAGCTTTTTCGACTGCATCGCCTCCAGCACCGTCGATGACCGCATCGAAAGCCGCCTTTCCGGGGGGAAGCTGACCCAGCAGCTTTTTCTCCCATCCTTCCTCCTTATAATTCACACCACCCTTGGCGCCCAGCTCAACCGCCTTCTTGATCTTCTCCTCGCTCGAGCTGGTCACATACACGTCGACTCCCCTGGCCACCGCAAATCGCAGAACCATGAGAGCCACCCCACCTCCGATCCCCGTCACCAGGATGGCCGCCCCCTTGCCCGAATTCCTCTCGCCAGCCTTGACCACCAACGCCCGCCACCCGGTCAACCCCGTCAAAGGAAGCGCCGCGGCCTCCGCATCCGATAAATGTTCCGGCGCCTCCTCAACCTCGGACTCCTCGATAGCCACATATTCTTGCAGCGTCCCCTTGTTGTACAGTTTCGTTCCGCCCATGATGCGATACCCCTTGGGATCTTCCGGGCCATCCGGCGAGCTGTCCCAGCCCACCCCGGGATTCAGGATCACTCGTTTCCCCTGCCAGCGCTGCGGGTCAGCGACATCGGGACCCGCCCCGACCACCATGCCCACTCCGTCGGCACCGAGGGGAACATCGAACGTGACTCCCGGGTACAAATGTTGGCGTAGGAAGACATCGCGGTGGTTGAGCGAGGCCGCGGTCAGCTTGATGAGTAACTCGCGGCCCTGTGGGGTAGGGACGGCCTGTGCCTGCACGGAGAGGGGATAGTAGACTTGGCCCGGTTTGCCTTCTGTTTTGGTCAGGAAGACGGCCTTGGACATTTTGACGCAGTTGAAGTCTTTCGTAGTTGTAGGATATGTAATTGTGATGGAATTGGGGTGAGGGAGGGGGTTTAGCGATCAGGGGGAGTGAGAAGATGAAAGGGCGGACCCAGCTTGAGTTATTTATCAGTGCGGGGGAGCTTGGATTTGTTATTAAGTGCCGAGGATGTCCTTAGATCCGATCGTCACTAGAGCTAAGAAGAGTATATGCTTTGACTGAGCATTCTTGACGTAGAAGAATCACCAATTGCTATCATACTTCAAATAAGAGCATCTCTTCATGGAACTAGGTAGCAGATACAGCATATGGAGAGATTAATTGCCATTCAAAGTTCAATGCCACAACCCTGCCGAGGACGGATTATGATATCAACCTCAACACCAAAGGAGGAGACGTGTTCACCTGTCTCATCGACTGACGATGGAGATTTTCCATACAAGTGGCTTAGCACTCATGCTGCAGCCATGCCAATGCTCTACCTATCTTGCTCAGAGTATGATACTGCTGGCGATGCAACCACGAAGTCCTCGGTGCCTCAGGCCGACATAAATTATACACTCTGTAATCAGATTACTGGCACCGGTATCATACCGGTATGGTATCTGAGCGGCGGAGGCAAACATTCCACACCAACGGAACCTTACATTTTGCAGTTAAGGGAATACTTCAATAGGGCAATACTGATCACCTCGACGACAACGTCGAAACGGGGTATTTTCTTCCAGTGTCTGCTGGGAGTTCTTAACAGGCGGTGGGAGTATTCATTCTGGGCGGATTTTGAGACTTTTGATATTCGGTGGCAGATGAGAAGTGTGACGCAGATTTATACATTTTGGTATATACATATGGCCAAGGTAGCAGAAGCATCGCGAAGTTGAATATGAGTATGATGGGGGGGGAGGGGATGTTTGATGAGCAAAGCTCCCGAGTTATGCACTGCTCAGAAGTAGACCCCCAATGCGAGCAACCTACAGGATAGATCGGCTGTGACGTGTCAGTTTTCAACTTCTATGCGATCGAGAGCATCGAGCATCTGGCTGTTGGTAATGCTCCGGCGAGATGCGATTGAGGTTTTCCGCCAGAGGCCCTGGATAATAACCTGCCTGAACTCGGGCAACCGAGCTCCAATGAAGTGTACTGTACCATCATCACGAGATAACTATATGCCACCCGTCTTGCGAGCTCTTTTGGTAGGTAGGAATATGTATGTACTTGTGAGCTTTCGATCTACGCATGAAAGACCCAGAAACGTCAAACAATAAGAAGAACAACAACCGAAGCCACGCCACTGATCATCAAGGTGTATCCAACCTCCAGCCATGAGAACAATCCCGGATATCACGTCAACCTCCCCACGGCCAAACTACCTTAAGGTTTTAAGTGATATGGTCAATCAAGTATATCTGCACAAATCGGTCCAGTGCACAGTACAAGACCAACTCCCCAGCCAAGCAAGCAAGCAAGCAAGCAAGCAAGCAATAAAAGTATACTTCCAAGCCCGGCTCGGTGGGAAAAGCGACAGAAATTACTTAAACCGGGCAAGCGACCAAACCTTAAGGGCGATTGGATTTCCGCTGTAACCGGCCGAGCTTTTTTTGCGTCTGGATTATTCTTGATGGGTAGGGAAGAGTGCTTGATGATTGATTGATTTCGTGGTGGCTGATGCTGATGCTGGCCGGACTCGGAGAGTAGGAGTAGGGCTGCTGTTTGTGCTGTTGCTGTTGCTGTTGCTGTTGCTGTTGCTGTTGCTGTTGCTGTTGCTGTTGCTGTTGCTGTTGCTGTTGCTGTTGCTGTTGCTGTTGCTGTTGCTGTTGCTATTTGCGTTTCTGCGTGAAGCAAAAGCAAACTGCCCCAAATTTAAGGACTATGTAGCTAACTTATATGCGTACCGGTAGATTATTCCTTCCGGAGAACTACCCATCGATTCCGCCAGCCTATTCTTTTTTCTGTCTTTTTGGGGGGGGGCTTATGAGTGGGAAAGTACTGTACAGTACGCAAAAAAAGGCAAAAAAAAAAGAAAGCGACACGTCGAGGAAGAAGCCGAAGCGTTTGCGGATGGTGTGTGGGCCAGTCAACGTCGGGGCGTGGTCTCAAGAGAGATGGAGTCGGCTGGGGAAGAGGTCGGGCCACGCACCCGATCCTGGAGGTCGAGCTTTCCAGTAGTAGTACTGCAGGTACTGCCGGTGTAAACAGTGATCGTCTCTATTCTTCGACCCGCGTGGAATACACATGATACAAAGATTGTGCTTGCAGAGGATGTGTTGTGCATGGGTGGTCACCACCGTGGTCACCATAGTGGTCTACCCAGGCTTTGCCTGGGAGCGGCACTGTGTGTTAGGTTATGAGGAGTAGGGGCCTGGCAACTACGAGTGTAGTGTGTAATAATGAGTGAATGAATGGATTGACATCAACAATCATTCAGGCAAGGTCGAGAATTTACCCTTACTGATGAGGTAATGTACTTCAATTGACTCGAGGGTGGCTGGTATCCAACGTATGGGGAAAAAGGCGAGAAAAGCGACGAAACACGAAAACAGTCCCCCCTTATTGCCACATCCCACCGCTCATTCGCCGCTCAGCCCTTGGCTCATTTTTCTCACTCTTGAACTTCCCAAACTTGCACCAGGAACTGATCCTTTCGATCTTCTGATCTCGAACTCGAACTTCGTTCAATCCCCTCGTCTGCTGCTGCTGCTGCTGCTCCGAACCTGCAATTCCTCCCACAACCTATTTTCGCTCTACACAATTCTGTCGCCGTCTCGATCAACTTGGGCCTGGTATGTCTCTCTCTCCTGCTCTCCCTCCACCATCGAAACCTCGTTTGCCTCCCTCCGCTTCCTCCCCCCCCCATCTTCGTCCCTCGGGTTCGTTGGCTGATCGATTCTCTCTTCTCTCCACACAACCAAACAGCTTTGCGTCCTTGTTTCCTACCAAACACATCCCTCTAAAAATTTTCGAAACCAACGCGTTCGCCTCACCTCTGACCGTCGACCTTTCCCTCGATTTGTCTTTCATCTGATCTGCTGGACTCGGCCTTGTCTTTCCCGTCTCAACCAGCTATCCTCTTCTTCCATAATGCCTACGCCACTTCCCTCTAGTTTTGCCTCAGCCGCCGCCGGCAACATCCACGACTCTTCCAACCGCAGAGGAGATGGAGCTCCCGGTGGAGAATGGTATGCCTGCCCCCGTTCCTTGCCCAACACCTTGTCGCGCGTCCGTCTCCTCGTTTGCCAGCAGCCCCATCCAAATCCGGCCGGGGGCCTCCTAGTTTTGTGGTGGAACCAGAAAAACTGACAACTCATTCCTACTTCCGCTGGGGATGCACAGGTCTCGCACTCGCATGAACGGAGCAACACAGACCTTCCGCCGCCCCTCAGTCGCGACGAACCCGTCGCATAACCGGGATACGAGTCAACCGAACTCGGCCACCACTCCCACCGTCGGCACCTACACCCCCCCGCATATGTCCTCGAACTACCAGTCCAGCGCACTCCGGAACGGTGCCACCACGGAAACTCGTTATTCCAAGGACCTGCTGCTAAATCTCTATAAGAACCAACGGGACACCGGCTCGCTGGGGAAGAATGTCGCAGAGTACTTCGTCGCCGACTGGAATCCCCACTCCTCCGAAACCTCCCCCGTCAATGGAGCATGGGGCAAGCGCGAAGATTCTAAGGACAATCCGTCCGGTCCGGAGGTCTGCTGGGATCATGGGGGCCATGTCGAGCCGCTGGGTCTCGTGGAACCGACGGACGACGAGAAAGAGGTGTGTCTTTCTTACATGTTATGCCCCGCCACATCACCTATGGACTATTTTCAACTTATGTCGGGGCATCTTTGCTAAATCGTCCAGTTGTTTACCTCCTCCGTCAACTCTCCGCTCAAGCCGCCACCCACGAACGCCTCGAAAGAGAACACCGCTACCGGCGCGGGAGGTCGCAAGCTGTCCATTTCCCAGGGTCATATGAACAACTACAACACCTCCTCTCCCAGCGCTGGACGTCCCGGTCCCCGGCGTCGGGAGACGGCCGATTCACCCGCGAATCCAATGTCTCCTACCACCAGTGGCTCTCGCTTCTTCCGTGACGAACCGACCACGTCCACCCCGCCTCCCTCACTGCTGCGCCGCAAGACCGACTTCCGCGATACTTCCTCTTCCACTGCTCGGTGGGAGGAGAAGGAAAAGGAGAATCTGGGCAAGGAGCCCAGTGCAGATGTCGCTTCGCCATTTGGCTCGCTGAAGCGGAGCTCCACCAATCCGTTGAGCGTGGCGCCAGGTGGGCCAAGCTCGCCTTGGGCGGCCGCCTCGCAAAATGCCAATAATTCACCGATGGGTGCGTTCGGATCCTTTTCTCTTGGACCGGGAACGAGCACCACCCCCACCACGGAGAAGAAGGCTGGGTTTGGCAGTCTCCGTGGAGAAAGTCGCCTGAAGGGACTCTTCTCCAAGGATAGCTCCGAGGACATGGCGGCGGCGGCTCTCAAGGAGAAGTCGTCTCTTAGCAGCCTGGAGCGCTTTGCTGATGTGGAGGGTGAGAAGCGCGCGCAGTCCCCTTGGGGCGAGCCTGTCAAGACCCGCACTGGTCGCAGTGAGACGAACCCATTCCAGGAGGAGCTTCGCAGTGGCAGCGCGGCGCTTGGGGGCTCTCAAGAGATCAATCCCCAGCCCCAGCCCCCGTCCGACCATTTGGGCTTTGGGGCGTTTGGCATGACCTCGAGCATCCCCGGATTTCGGGAACTGATGCAGAGCCACGAAAATTCCCGGAACCCTACCCCGAGTCTTCTGCAGGGACACGAGCCTACTAGCCCGACCAATACGAACCCCTACCAGAGCCCCCACGGCGACCGACACGAGGTGGATGATGTCGAAACCGACGGATCGGATATTCAAAACACCACCCACCCCGGTATCACTGGCCTGCGCGATACCTCCTCCGCTTTCGGCTCCATCCGACGTGTCGGCTCGGGCATGGACTTGCCGTCCATTGACCGCAGCCAAACATCGAGTGCAGCTGGAAACAGAAGCTTTTCAAGCTTGGGCGGCCTAGGTGGTCTTCCTCCCATTGGAGGCGCTGCTGGATGGCCCACGAGCGCCGCCGTTGGCACCCCCACGCGCGAACGATCTGCGTTTGCGGGCGGCTTCGGTGACCCGATCTTCGGGACCATGGGTGACCTGCAATCTCCAAGCTTGTCGACGCTGGGAGGAAGCGGTCTGTTCAGCCCTCATGCTGGGATCACTGGAACGGGCAGTCTGGGTCGCTCGAGCAAACTAGGCTCGCTCTTCCCCCCTGCCATGCAAGAGCAGATGCAGAGTGACCAGATCCGGCCCGATCTAGGGGCTTTGGACGAGGCTGCCCGGCAATCTGGGGAGATCTTCGATGGACTTTTGGCGGATCAGGGCCCACTGACGCACGGAGCAGATCTACAGCCTATCGATAAGACTGTGCAGGGCGGCCAGCCAGCCACTTCGACTTCTCAGACTCCTGTGTCTGCCGTCGGCTCTGGTCCTGGCTCCATGGTTCCTGATGCGCCGCAACCCAGCCAGACCCCCGGGAATTCTGGGTCTGTCCCCCCGGCGCAGCAACGGACCATGGTGATGCCTGACCGCATGCGCTGGATCTACCGTGACCCGCAGGGTAACATCCAAGGCCCATGGACTGGACTCGAGATGCATGACTGGTTCAAGGCCGGATTTTTCAGCCCAGACCTGCAGATCAAGAAGCTCGAGGACCCCGAATTCGAGCCGTTGGCACAGCTGGTTCGTCGCATTGGCAATTCTCGCGAACCGTTCTTGGTACCTCAAATCGGCATTCCTCACGGGCCTGACCCTGCCCCCGGACCATGGACTGGCAACACGAGCGGCACAGCGCAGCCTCCCTTCCCTGGCAGCTTCCCTAGCTTTGGTACCACCCTGACCGCCGAGCAGCAGAACGCTTTGGAACGTCGCAAACAGGAGGAGCAGTACCTGATGGCCCGCCAGAAAGAACACTTGGCTCAGCAGCAGGCTCTGATGAAGCAGATGCAGTTCCAGGGCGTTCCCCACTCCATCCACCCTCATCAGCTTCAGCACCATTCCAGTGCTCACAGCCTCCACAGCCAGCCTAGCTTCGGTAGCATCGCTTCTCCGGTCGGCTTCCAGCCCTCACCGATCCAGGCGCCGATGCAGCAACAGCAGCAGCAGCAGTCCCAGCAGCAACCTCCGTCTGTTGCCGGCTTCTTTGATGCGGCTGCCGCCATGCGAGGCAACCCTCTGCCCAACGTGGGTCCTCAGATGCTCGGCACGGATCTGGGCCAGGATCAACTTCCTACTCTTCTGGACCGCCTGAACATGAGTCGGCCGGATCCGTTCGCCTTTGGTACCCCCAGCTCTTTCGCTGCTCGCCAACCTGAAAGCCTGTTCCACCAGCAGCAGGTCGCTTCGATGCTCCAAGATCGGGCCCGTCTGCAGCAGGAGCAAGAGCAGTTTGATAGCACCCAGGGTGATGCTCTCTTCGACCAACAGGCACGTGAGGAGCGCCTTCGTCAGTTCCATGCCCTGAGGGCACAGGAAGCCGAACTCGGAATGCAGACTGTCGAGGGTCTTCCTACCCACCCGGCCGAGTCCGTTCAGTCTCAGATCCCCGAGGAGAGTACTGAGTTCGATACCGTTGAAGCCGCTCCCCAGGAGCCTCCTCTCACTCTGTCGCAGCAGGTCCAGAAGGCTGCCACCGCTCAACGCCAGCAGCTGGAGCAACAAGAACAGCAGGAACAGCAGCAACGCGAGCAGCAGCAATTGGAACAACCGCAGGCGGGCTCCGTCACCGAGGCCGCTTGGATGAGCAAGGGCGATAGCGCCATGCCCCAGCCCTTCCCTCCTCCGCCCTCTGCCTCCCCTCTGCCGGCTCCTGCCGCTCAGCGCAACCGCCAGAATGTGGCCGAATCTCTGGCTGCCAACTCTCGCTCCCAGACGCAGACCCCGGTCGATGCGCCCACCACGTCCATTGCGCCGTGGGCGAAGGAAGCCAACGAGGTCCCCAAGGGTCCTTCTCTGAAGGAGATCCAGGAGGCTGAAGCTCGGAACGCCGCCCAGAAGGAGGAGATCGCCGCTGCCGCTCGTCGTGCTCAGATGCTTGCGGAGCAGGAGCGCCTCAGCCAGGCGGCCCAGGTGCAAGCGCCTGGCCTGCCGTCGACTGCCAACTGGGCGAGCGCCGGATCCCCGTCGACCCCGACTTCCTCCGGTTCCGTCTGGAACAACAAGGGTCCTGCCGCTCCATCGGCTGCTGCCAAGAAGACTTTGGCTCAGATTCAGAAGGAAGAAGAGGCTCGAAAGCAGCGTCTTGCCGCTGCGGCCGCTGCGGCGCAAATTGTTGCTGCCAGCCCTCCTACTGCTCCCTCGTCTACTGGTAAGCGTTACGCCGATCTGGCCAGCAAGGCTCCCGCGCCGTCTCCTGTGAACACGGCTGCCTCTTCGGGCGCATGGACCACCGTCGGTGCCGGCGGCAAGGCCAAGGCTCCTCCTGCTGCTCCTTCGGGACCGCGCGCGACCACTGGCGTCGTGCCCGTGGCCGTTTCGCCGGTGAAGCCCAAGCCCGCTACGGTTGCCACGCCTCGCACCGTGTCTGTGGGCCCTACGCCGGCCACCAACCCTAACCGGGCGGTTGAAGAGTTCACCAAGTGGGCCAAGTTGGCGCTGGGCAAGGGCCTGAACAGCAACATCAATGGTAAGTGTTTTTCTTTCCTCGGGGTTTATTGAGCTGGAGCTAATTGCAATGATGTAGTGGACGACTTTGTGCAGCAGTTGCTGTTCCTGCCGGCGGAGGCGGAGATCATCTCGGATTCGGTGTATGCCAACTCGCAGACTCTGGATGGACGGCGGTTTGCGGAGGAATTTATCCGTCGGCGCAAGCTGGCGGACAAGGGGATTGTGGACCCGGTAGCGGCGAGTGCGTTTGCGGAGCCGAAGAACGCGGGCGGGTGGAGCGAGGTGGCCAAGAAGGGGTCGTCGAATGCGCACCGGGAGGAGGATGCCAGCAATGCGGCGTTCAAGGTGGTTGCTCCGCGTAAGAAGGGAAAGCGGTAGATTGTGGGTGTCAGGGAACTGGATGCAGGATGGTGACGGTGAAGGTGTATCTTATCAGGATCTATCCCGCATAGCATAGATCGGGAACTTATCTATCATGTGATAGCCACGCCCTTCGATTACAGTACATGCCCCTCTATGCGTCATTGACGAACTCGAGAGGAGCGAGTATAAATACATCTACATCGGCACTTACTTGGTACAGTCCAGATTCTCCTCGTACCTGATAAACTCCTTCCCATCAACCCAGAAAACATTCGAAGAGCCTAGAGGATGTCACCCACCACCCCCTTCGGCGCCCCGATGCGCCAACACTTCCTCCTCGACACGAACTATAGAAACCTGAATCACGGTCACTCCCACTGACAGACACTATAAACCCCCCGCCCCAACACACAAAACTAATAAATGATCGATCCCCAGGCTCCTTCGGCACGCACCCCCGCCCCGTCCTCGCAACCCAGCAAACCTACCAGCGCCTCGCCGAGCTCTCCCCCGACCAATTCCTGCGCTACACGCAGCCCACGGCCCTGCTCCCCGCGCGCCACGCGCTCGCCGCCCTCCTCAACTGCCCGGTCCGCGACCTCGTCCCCGTCAAAAACGCCACCACCGGCGTCGCGACCGTGCTGCACAACCTCGCCCCGCACTTCGTGGAAGGGGACACGCTCCTCTACTTCTCGACGGTCTACGGCGCCGTCGAGAACGGGCTGTTCTCGCTGCGCGACCATCTCCCAGGTCCCACCCTGCGGCTGCGGAAGATCGAGTACGCGTTCCCGATCACCCCGGCCGAGCTGGTGCAGCGGTTCCGGGAGGCGGTGCGCCAGGTGCGGGCGGAGGGGTCGCGGCCCCGGATCGCCGTGCTGGAGACGGTGGTCAGTCTGCCTGGGGTGCGGTTTCCGTTCGAGATTTTGGTGAAAGTGTGTCGGGAGGAGGGCGTGTGGAGTCTGGTGGATGCGGCGCATGGTGTCGGCATGATTGAGTTGGATTTGGGGACGGCGCTGGTGGATGAGGGCCGGGATGGGGGCCAGGATGGGCTTGGGGATGGGCTTGGGCTTGGGCCAGGGCCAGACGGGTGGGGGAAAATCGGGGGCGTGGATTTCCTGACCAGTAATTGCCATAAGTATGAGTTACCTTCCTTCCCCTAGCTTTCCCCTTACTGCCGAGGGCTGCCCCGGGGGGGGACGGGGCAAGCTGCGCACCCCACCCCCACAAGACTTACAGATCAGAGGAGCATAATGCTGACAGTTGATGCGCACTGCGCACAGGTGGCTCTACACCCCCCGCAGCGCGGCCCTGCTCTACGTCAACCCCGCCCTGCAGCACCTCATCCGCACCACCCTCCCCACCTCCTGGGGGTATATCCCGCCTCCATCCGAGACGCCGGCGAAGCCCTCGCTAATGGCGAGTGCGGGACGGAAGACCGCGTTCGAGGCGCTGTTCGAGTTCGTGGCCACGGCTGACGATACGCCGTATCTGTGTGTGCCGGCCGCCCTGCAGTTTCGGGAGGAGGTGTGCGGCGGCGAGGCGGCGGTTTATGCTTATCTTGAGGAGCTGGTGAATGAGGGGGCGGATCTCGTGGCGGCCGGGTTGGGGACGGAGGTTCTTGGCGACGGCAATGCAGCAGGTAAGAGGAGTGCGTGGAGGAGGTGTGCCATGAATAATGTGCGGTTGCCGGTTAGGGTCGTGCAGACGGTAAGAGGCGAGGAGGATACCGCCGGTCTAACAGCGGAGCTCGTCCCCGCGGTGGTGGATTGGATGCAGAGGAGGCTGGTCGAGGATTACCGCACCTTCGTGCCCGTCTTTGCCCATGCCGGTTGGCTGTGGGTGCGGCTGTCGGCCCAGGTCTATCTCGACAGGAGCGATTTCGAGTGGCTGGTCCCCGTGTTGAAGGAGTTGGTGGGTCGCGTCAAGGAGGAGTTTAAGCTGGGAAAGGTGTCGTCTCACCTGTAGCAGCAGATGCAACAGATACAACAGACTACATAGACTAAGCCCATCCACAAAATTCTGCAATGATATACAACTACGCGAATATATGCAGGCCGTAGTAACAGCATCACAAACACAATCAAGTACCAGCAGAAAACACGCAACTCGCAAACCTAGCTATCCACTCACGTCTCAATCAGATCCGCAGTCTCGCCCTGGGTCTGCTCCGCCACAGTGTTGTCTCGCGTGTCCTTGTTGGCGATCTTGCGCGCAGACCGCGCATAGAACTCATCCAGCACACGCTTGGGGATACGATTGAGCAGGTCCTTGGGGTAGATCCGCAGCAGGTTCCACGCGATGTCCAGCGACTCGAAGATCGTGCGCGACTCGTACGGCGACTGGCTGATGAAGGTCCGCTCGAACTTGTCCAGGAACTCCAGCGAGAGCTTGTCCTCGGAGGAGAGGGCCTCCTCACCGACGACAGCCTTCATGGCGGCTAGACACAAAAGTTAGCTATGACCACATCTCAACACAGCACACAAACTTACCAGCATCACGACCAATGGCGTACTTGGCGTACAACTGGTTGGACACATCCGAGTGATCCTTCCGGGAACGGCCCTCACCAATAGCCGACTTCATCAGACGGGACAGCGACGGCAGCACGTTGATGGGCGGGTAGACACCCTTGTTGTACAGTTGACGGTCAATGAAGATCTGTCCCTCCGTAATGTAGCCAGTCAAATCGGGAATGGGGTGAGTGATATCTGCAATCCATCAGCATTGGCCCATCGGCATATGCACCACCAGATAAGCAACTGACCGTCGTTAGGCATCGTCAAGATAGGAATCTGTGTGATGGATCCGTTACGGCCCTCCACACGACCGGCACGCTCGTACAAGGTCGACAAGTCAGTGTACATGTAACCGGGGTAACCACGACGACCCGGGACTTCTTCACGAGCAGCCGAGACCTCACGCAGAGCGTCACAGTAGGCAGACAGATCAGTCATGATGACCAGGACGTGCTTCTCCAGCTGGTAGGCATAGTACTCGGCCGTGGTCAGCGCAAGACGAGGGGTGATGATACGTTCAATCCTGGACGCGGGCTGTCAGTTCCGCACGCACACAAGCACACAAAACCAATCACATACGTAGGGTCGTTGGCCAAGTTCAGGAAGAGCGTCACGCGCTCCATACTGCCGTTCTCCTCGAAGTCGCGGGTGAAGAAACGGGCCGTTTCCATGTTCACACCCATGGCGGCGAAGACGATGGAGAAGTTCTCCTCGTGTCCGTCGTGGACGTCCTTGGTGGGGCGCTTCACCAGACCAGCCTGACGACAGATCTGGGCGGCGATTTCGTTGTGTGGCAGACCGGCGGCAGAGAAGATGGGGATCTTCTGGCCACGGGCAATGGAGTTCATCGTGTCGATAGCGGAGATACCAGTGGAGATCATTTCTTCGGGGTATACCTGCACACCACCAAACGCGTTAGCCACCTGGGATGTGCATGTCGCGGAACAAAGGCGAGGCTCATACTCGGGAGTAAGGGTTGATAGGTTGGCCGTTGATATCCAGGTAGTCCTCCGCCAGCACCTTGGGGCCCTTGTCAATCGCGCGACCGGAGCCATCGAACACACGACCCAGCATGTCTTCAGAGACACCGAGCTTCAAGCTGTGACCGGTAAACTCGACTTTCGTCTAAGGGAAGTCAGCACGGCGGTTGACTCGGGCTCTGGCTATATGACAGCGAAGTACCTTCTTAACGTCGATGCCAGACGTGCCTTCGAACACCTAGTATGACCGCATTCCGATGTCAATATACCGTCCGATAAATCCACCTCCCATTCTCTGCACTCGGAAAGACCGCACCTGAACGACTGCTCGGTTTCCTACAGCAAGGGTAAGATACATCAGCGGATCTGATCGTTATCTCATTCATCCATCCACACATACCTCGAGCTTCCAGAACCTGACCCGACCGCTCGGTCCCATCAGGGAGGGTCAGAGACACGATCTCATTGTAACGGGGGAATTTGACCTAAGCCATCGTGGATTAGCTGGAATTCCCATCCCTGATATACCTGGGGTCGGCCAGATGACGTGCCGATGGAGACGGGCCCGTACATTATCCAGAACGACCAGCGGTCCGTTGATACCTCCAATGGTGTTGTAGCGGATGCGAGGCTTGACGCTGGTCATCCGGGGGTCGACGAAATCGGCCATGGTCGAAGAGTCCACCACAGGGTACTATTTGAGCCAGAGACGATAGACAAAGAAAAGAGGGAAAGGGGGGAAGGGGGGGGGGGAAGTGGGAGAATGCGGACGAGGAGGCGGAACTGAGGGGAGAGGAACAGCTCCTGGTGGTGGTCGGGAGTGTCGACGTATGCTTAGGCTGGAGCCCGTGGGCAGTTTGGCTGGTTTGCCCCGTTTGGCTCCACGTCCTCCCGGGGGGCGGTGTGGAACCTTCCCACGTGATGCTCTCTCGCCTACGATCTATAATTTAGTACAAAGACTTATTACGATCAAGAATACGATAATCAGTCATGTTCTTGCAGAGATAGTGAAACTAGTGACTCATACATCCCACAAAGCCATCTGCGGCCGCCATAAAATGTCCCCATCCGTGTTAGGCTTCACAATCGAGTCAAGTAAAATAAAACGAACGCCAAGCGAAATGAGATCATCAGATCAGCTCGTCATGAATGTCATACTGATACAGCTGGAGAAAGGAAAAGCATCCACGAGAAACGCAGGCTAGAATCGTGAGATAGATACGCCAAACCGCCGTCAAACCGTCATGGTATCGTGTGCAAAAACAAAGAACGGGGAAAGCACATGGAGAAAAGGTCAAATTGCAGTCATTCAGTCCACTTTGGCCAACGCTAGCTTCTTGGGCGTTGTTAGATTGTTGGACAGACGGACGTTCATCTTCTTGTTCTTGGTTTGTTTCTTCAGCTTCTTGCGGGCCACCATCACCGGTACCGATGAATGCATGACCAGGTAGTTCGAGAACGATCCGAGGACCACCCTGTTGTAAACAGTCTGATTAGTTTGCAGCCCATGCAGGTCGATCGCAGAGTTCTTACCCTTTGAGTGCACTTCGTCCTCTGGCCCCAACAATTACCAGCGTAGGATCCAATCCATCAATCTGAATACTCGGTCAGCAACTGCGTGCACCTCGGAGCAAAATCAAGCTTGACTTACAGCTTCGGTGATCATGTGCTTCGGGCTCTTGCAATGAATCACCTCTACCGCCACGCGCACCTGCAGTAGCGTCTTTCGCAAGAGACGCACGCACGTCTGTGAAATGACCTCCACCGCCCGTACGCGCTCGGATTCCGCCTTGGACATGCCTCGTGCATCGACCGAGCCCGGTTTGCTGTCCGTGCCGGTCCCTAAGCGATTGAAGAAGGTTCGAGGCAGGTGCGAGCTGGAATCATTCTGGGATTTCGCCGCCGTCTCGGCCGTTTGCGAGCCGACCACCGCAGCAGCATCCTGCATGGCTTTGGCCCCATCCCCAATCTGCACGGCTGCCGGAGTAGCGGTCTCGTCGTGCATGGCACAGACCGCAAACATTGTATCGCCGTCCCGCAGAATGGTACCAATTGTCCACTCCAGAGCATACACCGATTCCTCACTGAGGTCAGTCGTCACCAGATACTTGCGCTGGCGGCGACGAGCGCCTTCCTCTTCGTGTATGCTGGGATAGTCGCCGCGGATGATCGTCCGGATTGATCGGTTGTGCACCGAGCTATCGATCGCAGACATTTCAATGCTGAGCTTCTGAGCGCGTTTGATGTCGCACAACTCTGCCTCGTCCTCCGAGCCGAATGGGGTGTTGGTCGCTGAGGCAGAGTCGAAACTCGTTCGGGGGCGGACATCAGGCTTCGAGACGGGGCCTGTCTTGGCTGAATGGATCAACTCAGACTTCCCTGTGGAGTTGTTGCTGGGTTCTGCAGCTCACAATCAGTCAGTATTAAGTAGCGGAACAACGAGACGAGAACGTACGAAATACCGGAGCCGTCTTTGTTGTCGTGCGCGGAGCGATCCTGGCAGGTTCATGGTCGACCGTCTCTTTCCGCCCTCGTTTGTTCTCTTCCGACTCGCGATCCGGACTCTCATCATCGCTGGAAGACATTTCGTCACCGTCCTCGTCACTGGTCTCGATCGGATTGTTCTCGCTGTCGTAGTGGTCCTTTTCGAGCCGCTGCTCTCCGGGAGCCGAGGAATCAGCATCCGCCTCTGGTGGGAATTGAGGAGCTGGTGGAGGCGGGACTGCTGGCTGGGATGTTGCTGGAGGGGTCGGAGGAGGAGAGACCTTCGGGGCGCTCCCAACCGCCACACTCTCTTTTGGCTTCTCGTTGGGGGTTGCTTTCAGCGGTTCTTTAGTGCTTTCTGTAGGCTTCTCTGCCTGTTTCTCCTTAGGAGACTCTTTACTCTCTTTCAGCTTTTCCATCGGGTTCTCATTCGGGCTCTCCTTCGGACTTTCAAGTATAGGCTTTGCGGTGTCGACCGACTGATTGCGTGAACCGGGGCTCAGCCAGCGACGCTTTGGCGAACTGGAGCGGGTCGAGCGGAGCGCCGGAGTTCGCGAGTCAAGCGAGTTGCCTCGGGATGAGGAACTACGGCCAGAGTCCCGACCTCTGACAAAGCTCGGGAACCCAACCTTGATGTCGAGGCCTGACATCACGGCAGCCATGCTTGGCAGACGATTCGAGGAGGAAGCGGCCGGAGGCTTCTCCTGAGATTGACTGGCACGACGGGCGCTGGGAGGCATATCGAGAGAGGAATCCCAGCGAATGCTAGGGCCTGATTTGTGCGTGGTTGTGGTTGCGGCTTGGGGGCCTCCGGACTTGTCGCTGCTGTCGGACTGAACGGAGGATTTCCTCGGTGCCGGTGGTAACGGAGGAGCCACCAACGAAGTGGTCCTGGGCGGCGGAGGGGAGGTGGTGGTCGTGGTGGTCGTGGTGGTCGTGGTGGTCGTAGGTGACGTCGAGGGCGATGTGGACGAGGAGGGAGGGAGGGGAGGAGGTTTAGAGGAAGTGGTGGGAGATGATGCAGTGGACGTGGTGGGGGTCGAAGAGCGGCGGGGAGCAGAGGTAGTAGTATTGGAAGCGGGATAAGAATTGTAGTGATGGTGATAATTGCGGCCCGAGGGGGAAGTCACGCCCACTCCAATGCCGGCGATGGAGCCATGCCGGGGAGGGACAAAGCCTGGACTGGGAGCGATGTCCAGCATGCTCCGGCGTGGGTACCAAGAGGAATTAGTGTGGTTGCCTTCCCCCGACTCCCGCAGTAACTCCCGGCGTTCTTCCTCCAGTGCCGTCTCTAACGAGATGGGCGCAGGTTTTCTACTGTAGTACGGCATGGTGACGGTGGGTGAGCACAAGTGAGCACGAGTGCACTGGATTTCCCCGAATTCACCCGGTCCTTTTGATCTTTCTATTCAGTTCTTATTAAGATGTGTTCTGCCTGTCTGTCTGTCTGTCTGTGGGATTATTATCTGGCAGCAATAAGTTAACTGATGGAGCCACCCAAAAACGGAGGGGGAGGAGGGACCGACTGGAATTGAGACACACGACTAATCCGTAACGGGCCCCGGAATGTGGAGTACGGTTGAGCGACGATCATCGGCCGAATGAGCGGCGCCAAATCCAGGTAAGGGGCGGCAAGTCACTTCCCAAATCCCCAGATTTCGCTTTCAGCTTTCCCCGTGATCGGTGACAAGAGCTTGAGCAAGCTGTGGCAACAGCACAGCACGGTAGCAGCAGGCAGCGAAGCAGCAAAGCAGCAACTCTGTCCTCTTTCACTTTGCGGAACCGTGATGCGGAGGTACAACAACAACAACAGGAAAAGGCACGAATTATAGATTAAGCGGGCGAGCTTGGGAGATCCCCACGTGCAACGAAACGGCTGCAACTGCCGGCGATCGAATCGGTCGCGACCAGCCGCGGCCCAGGTTCTGGCTGAAGCTGAGGGCTCTTCCTTTGTTACAGTTCGCAGCGGACGTATCACAAACAAAAGCAACCAAAGGCCAAAGGGGGTCGGGCGCGTTCACGAGCTCTCCCCACGGATAGGTAGAAGGTGGAAGTGAAAGTGGAGGAGGGGAACGGGAACAATAAAGAAGAAAACGAAATAAGAGGAGAAGATGAATGGTAATAGTCGAGCACAGTCCACTCTGCCAAGTCAATCACAGGGAAAAAGGAATCGAGGAATGACTTGACAAGTTGACAGTTAGTCCCAAGATCGACTGGGGATTCGAGGGAGCTTAAGAGGACCAAGAGGTGAGCAAAAAAGCTCGGCCAACGAAAACTGCAGCTGAGCTCGTCAGAAAAAGCTCGGCATGGCGGGGTATCACCAACAAAGTAAGAAGAATTGGGGAGGGGAGAGGGGCCGAGAGAGGAGTGGAGATGAGAGGAGAGGAGAGGAGAGGAGAGGAGAGAAGAAAATAGGCTGATCAATTTAACTCAATACTCAGTAACTCAGTAACTCGATTCACACAGCTGATAGACCTATCCCTTGCATGAGTGCTTGAGTGCTTGAGTGCTTGACTGCTTGACTGCTTGAGTGCTTGAGTGCTTGACTGCTTGACTGCTTGACTG